TGAGCCCAGTTGAAGGTGATGGGGGGAAAAAGAAAAAAAAAATCCAATAAGCATAAGTCTCTGCTTCGCTTTACTCTGTCGTCTCTGGGATGTTATTTAAGCGTGACACGTGGTCGATTTTTCCATTCCACCTGGATGCCCTTACACTCCTGCTTGTCTGTTCTCCCTCTCCCTCCCTTCCCTCCAGTATGGATCCCGCATATCTGCTCTGAAGACCCTACCTTCCTACCTCACCTCTCCGCTCTCCCAGATTTGGTTAGAGAGAAGGGTAAATAGGCAAAGGCTGTGTGAATAATGCAAAAAGAACATTAAATGTCAAGTCTAAAAATTCACAATTTCCCCTTATTGTCTCACTGACATTCACTGAAGGTTTTATGCATTTTATAATTAGCAGCAAAGTCTCAGATAAGAACATTCGTAAGTTAGCCTGAATGCTTACTTTTATGAGAGGAATCTTTTAAAATACAAACAATCTTTCATCCCTATTATTGAGCTCATTTTATTACTGTTGAGTCTATTAAAAATTAAACCCATCTTTACAGGCACCTAATGCATTCACACATGCAAAAACACATGTTTTACAAATGGACATTTGCACTTTGGTGTACTTGTAAATAAGAAATTGACTTGTTTTTCTGTGCATGCTGGGAAAACAGCTTTCTGAAATTTGTCGAAAACTCACGTGAACCGCTCAGTGTCGTCATGCTTTTCTGGTTTAAATTACCAAGTGTAATTAACTTTCAAACACTTCAGGTTTATGCAATTTGGATATTGTGTTTACAAGCTAAAAACAGCAAATCCCCAATCAGAACCATGGCACAGTTCATGCACAATTATTAGGGTAATTGCATTTAGAAGGATTCATTTCATACTTTGTAACAAATAACGCCAGCAGTGTCATACTCCTGCAAAAGAAAAGTGACTTTTTTTTCTCCAAGCAGTGTTGTAAGTTTGTTGAAAAAGGGGGCTACAATTTATCAGAAATATATTTAAATAAAAACTCAACTGATAAAATTGATTGTAGCATAATTATAACAGCAATATTCAGTTTTCAGTCTTTGAAAACCCCTTTAGCCTTTCACAAATAAATTATTCAGTGATTTATAAAAACTTTTTTTCATATTTGACATATATATTTGATAAAGATTTTTTTAATCGTCTCTATCTCCATCTTCTACACATACTGTATTTGTTATCAGTTTGCTGAGGCAACAGGTCCAGAAGAGAAACCCAGACAACTCTCTCTCTCCCAAAGTGTTTCCAGAGATGATAAATATAATCCCTCCAGTGAGTTCTGTGTCTGCCCTGGGCACTTATTCCAATGGGACATACCCCATACACAAGCTAGTGTTGTTTATGAAAGTGCTGGTTTGAAAGCTGGAGTCATGCCATCAAGATTTCCATATGTTTACAAAAGGAATCCCCACGTTTCACATTGACGCCASACATCATACCAAGGGATTTCCCTGTGCTATGGCAGCGAGCAAAGCAACCTGTCAATTAAAAATAACTAAATAAACTATTTGCATGGGTTTTTGCTAGGTGCTATGACTACCTCCCACAGACCAAAAACAAGAATGCTAGGCTAACTGGTAACTCTGAATTATCCCTGGTGTGAGTGAGAGAGTGAACGGCTGTCTCGTTTGTCTGTATGTGGCACAGTGATGGACTTGCAACCTGTCCAGGGTTTACCCTGTACTTCACACTGTGACTGCTGGATATGTGCACCAGTGACCTCTGTGACCCTGAAAGAATGAAGCAGGTAAAAGTAATGGATGGATTGATGGATGGACAAAATTAATATTTAGGATATTTACTTGTTACAACACTTTAAAAATTGATTAGGAAGAATAAAGCCTATTTAGGTACTGTGATTAGTAGTAGTAGTCAATTATCACCAAAAAGAAGTACATTTTTATGTTTTCAGCATTGTAGTTTGTTCTCCTTCTGACTCATTTTGCCAGCATAGGTCACAGCTATCATGTAAATCAGAATTTAAGAAAACTTTTCATCCTTTATAGCAGTTTGTATAAATGAAAAATTATAATAATTATTTATGAAATTGTTATTAGTAAATCTTACTGTATTTTCAACAAATCATTACAAAATGTTTTCATCTGTGTTATCAGTGCGTTTCTACAAACAAGGCTTAGAAATAAATGTGGTTTAGTGGAAAGTTCACAAGATAATGCAAGTGATAGGGGTTATTTAACACATTACTTGTAATTACAGAATGTATTTGAACAGAGGCACTTTGTCATTGAATACAGTATGTAGTTATTTTTAACTCTGGGCAGTGCACATGAAACTGCAGCATCAACATCCCCTCCATCACAACCTCACATGGTTTTTAGCTGCATAAAAAAGGAAAAGAAAAAAAAGAAAAAAGYCTTGACAGATGACTTTAAAAATTGCCTTTCCAAACCACGGTAGTCTCAAGATGCGGCTGGTGAAAATTAAAAACGCTCCACCCTGAGAGATGTTTTTTTTTTTCATGTTTGAGCCTGCATTTATCCACCTGAAATTAATTCTCTAATTTGTTTGTAAGATACACAGGGAATACTTGMGATCCCAATCCACTTAAAGAATCTTGTCTGCTACTTTACATATCTGCTCTGAAATGCTGATTTGTCCCTGAAGACTCCTCCCAGCAATCCTTCTAGTCATTAACACTGAAATGAAGAGCAAGTCTCAGCTTTTCCTAGGGGCTCGGTAAACTCTTTTTAAAGCATCAGTTTAGAAATGGTGTTTGTGCAGTCTGTGTTTGTCTTTGTTGTGTAATGAAAGAGATGTTGAATTTGATTTAGGATGCAAACCGTGGTGTGGCTCGCGCTGCTAACATCGACTCATATTTGTTGACACGCATGATGGCATGTTTGTCTGAACATGCAAATCATAAAAACTAAAAGCTGCCATGAGTGTCACTTTGGTGCCATCTCAACCAGTGGAAAAGCCAGAAAAATCCAGCTAAGTTTCAGTCCCTCCAAAACTTCTCCAAAACTACACTTTATGTCCAGCTTCTTTAAATCTACAAAGCTGTCCCTGTCTTCCTTTTGGCTGCTATTTCAATTGACTACTTTAAAGATAATTTACTGTTATTTGTTTGTCTGGCAGATGGGAAATCTTTGCAGCTTTGATGACACTATAATTTTTAATTTCATTCAATAACTATACCGAATATTGGTTTTCGAGTGAAAAATGTGTTCCAGCTCCAACTAATGCCCCGTTTTACAGAGCTGTCAGAGGAAAGTACACTTTATTGAAAAAAAGAACCTTTGCCAAAAACACATTTGCATCTTTACAAAAGCCTCCGCTGCTTCAGAGGACCTTGCACTCCCGGTCCATGTTTATTTATCAGTGTAATTCGTCCAGTAAATTCACTCACTACACCAATTTAAAAGGTGTTTTTCCTCTTTTCGTTGTAATTGTTTCTTTCCAAAAGATACATCAGTCGTCTGAGCAATGCTGAAAAGTATTTTACAACTTTTTTTAAATATCGCTGGCTGATCAATCTATCTAGCTCTTATTAAAAAATTACTCCTTCAAAGAGCTTTAAACCTGATCATTTAGTCTGCCTGAATGTATAGTTGATCTGTCAAAGGGTTTTTATTTATTGAAATGTACATTGTAGAAAATGCAAACTCATGGTGTTATGTGTTTATTGATGTTTATTCATGTATGTGTCCAGAATGCAGAAGAACATTAATGTCATTGGATAAAAGATTTACCGCATTAAAATTAGGCTCTGGCTAATTTCCCTGGCTGGGTAAACAGAAATAGCTTGTTAAATGTAAAAGCATGAGCCAAACGACATCAGATGCAAAGCAAAAACACACATTTGTCAATCAAACACATTTGCAAAAATCACTCACATTTCCAAATTTGTTCATTTTATTGTCTGGGCTCATTCCTAGGGTTAGGTTTATTGATCTACAGCAGTATACGCAGTACATGCAGTATACGCAGTATACAGTATTTATGAAGTGGGGTAGGGGGTTATGGTCTGTGGTGTGTTGTGTAATTAATACTTAATAGAGAAACGTCTGCTTCTGCTGTTATTCTATCTGCTGTGAGAGCAGCAGGAGTGGCAGAATATTTGCCCCTTTGTTGTGTCACACAAATCAAAATACGTCCAAGTTGGTCTTTTTAGTGTTTTACGTTTCAAAATAATCTGACTTATACCACAGTCGTGTTGGCACTGCTGCATACTTTTATCATACTTTTACCCAGTCTCTGTGTCAATAAAGTTTGCAAATATTTCCTCCTCTGAGGCAAGGTGCTCATGGGAGTCAAGGGAAAAAAAAAACAATAAAAAACAAAGTTAAAATTCTAAATAAATCTAGCTATGATGGTTTAATTTAAGAAACCCGCAGCTGAGTGATCCTGGAAGCTGGCAGTCAGCACTATGCCGAAGTTGACAAGTAACGTTTCTGTCACTACCCCACATGGATGGTAAGAGTCGCGGCAGATGGGGTGCCTCAGTCCACTTCTGTCTTCTGAATGGACCGAGGTGGTCAGAACATGCCTCAGTAACAGTATAAGGTGTCTTCTGAAAGAGCCTATGGGTTGATGACTTAGTTTTCATAGCAGCCTTGTGGAAATTTGGCACATCACCTCTCGTGATTAATACGGCCATAATTTTTAAATACCATCACCTTATTTCAGTACCAAGGTGAACCGCAATGCTGTCATAGCGAACCAAAGATCTTTGTTTTCAGAGCATCAACAAGTTTTTTTTTCCATTTTTAATGGCACTAAGTGATACAACATTAAAAAAACAGAGGTGCTTTTAGTTGACCTTGAGAATCTCTATGCCTCTACACTTTTTCAGTGACTCCTGTGGATCTGAAGCTCACTGTTGTTATGGATATGAATAGAGTAATTGTCATTTATCCATTTTTTACCATTTAATTATATGGAAACCATCATCAACCAAAACTATTTAAATCAATGCCAGTGTAATCATTAGGTAAAACAGGTTGTCTTTTTGTCTCCCTCAGGCCAACGAGAGGTGACTGTCAGAAGAAATGCCGGTCCCAGGTGCCCTAGTACATCATCACCGGGACCATGGCGACTCCTTGGCCAATAAGAAAAGAGCAATGCTTCCATGGCTCCGCCAGCCTTGCTAGATGGTCGGCATCCTCCTTGATGCTCCTATGGTTGCCTTGTGTGTTGCTGTGGCTGCCATGGCCCGCTCGAGCTGAACAACTGGGCAGTGGGGCACACAGTGGAAAGACGCTTCACAGTTCCCTGTCATCCGCCGCGTCCTCGTCATCGTCCTCATCCTCGTCTGCCTCGTCCCCATCCAGCTCCTCGGCATGGGGCTTCAACACGAGGCAGAGTGGCGGGCAGCTGGACTGGCTGCTGTCGGAGAAAGGACCCTTTCACCGATGTCCAGAGTACACAGAGTTCAGAGAGAGGTTTCAGCAGGGGTTTTCAACAAGATACAAGATTTACAGGTAAGATCAAACCRTGTGTGTTTGTGGGTTTATGTGTCAAAAGAACAACAAACAAAAAAGAGATTGCAGTAATAAAAACTGAAAAGTCTCGTTCTGCCTTTTCTATTTGGTCTTGTGAACCTTTATTGTAAAAACAAAATGCAGTTGATATCACTTGTCCCAAGATGCATTATTTGAGTTGAGAGGATTAAACCACAAATGCATTCTCAGGTTGTTTAGGATCAAAAGATTTGTATTACACAGAACATGCAAGAAAAAGCCAAAGGTCAAAATCAGAAACCAAACACACATTCACACATGGGCTCTTTGGTGTATATTAAATGCCAGCATGCAGATCAGCATGTTTGCCTATTTCTAAATAAAGCTTTTCATTTTGTATCACAAAGACAGCCAATACCAAGCAAATACAAGGCTTAATCAGCCAAATGTTGACTGCAAGTCTTAAAGCAAAAATTCCTTCATTCAAAATTTGAATGCTTGAAAAACTTTACCACGGTTTTTACACTGTGTTGCATTTCTTTAGAATTCACTCAGAAAACTCTGTAGGAGAGCGGGTCATGAATAACTCCATTAAATTACTTTAAGTTAAAAGTAGTATTCTAGTCAAACTAAGTACTTTGTGTGAAAATTGACATATATGTTTAAATAAAATTATAATTTAATTTTCATCATTGAATTATGTGTAACTAAGAGACTGACATTATTTTAATCTTTAGCTGGTAGTAATAAAAGCTAGCGGTGATGAAAAAAAAAAGTGACCTAATTCATTATTAGGTCATTTGATTCCACCAGGTTTTAGCAGTTGTTTAAGGTTTAAGCTGATTAGTTTGGTAATTAATTTTGAATTACTCAAAGCCAGGGGCACAGCATCTTAGGAAATTGCATGGTTTATTTTTGAGCTACAGTATCTTTGCAGGCGTTTTCTTTGATTCATGTGATTTTAAATGTGTTCCAATAATTCAACATATTAAACTTGGAGCTCTGAACAGTGTTTTGGACTGTAGGGATGGATAATGGAGGAATGGTAAATTTTCAGCTGCAGGTCCACAAAAATGTGATGCAGTTGCACGAGTTGTGGTCCTGGAATGTTTTTCCCCCAACCCTTTATCATTTATTCCCCTCATTCCTTCTCTGATTCATGAACCCTGTAGGATCAGAGTAAATGTAGCTTACTTCTCAGTTGTTTTAGTTAAAAGAGCATTTTATGAGCAGACTTTATAGCTTCGCTATATAAGATTTCTTTTTTTTTTTTTTACTAAAAAGTCACTTTCTGCAGAAGTACAGCACCAGGCGTACCATGCAGCAGACATAATGCAGGTATTTAGGGGGGTATTCACATGTAAAATAACATGACTGGCTTTGTATTAGGTGTGTGCGTGCGTGCGTGCGTGCGTGCGTGCGTGTGTACGTGTGTGTGTGTGTGTGTGTGTGTGTGTGTGGAGGGTGGGGGGTATTGTGCAAAATCAACTTTTTTGAACTTTGCATCATATTATGGGGGCGGCTGTGGCAGAGTGGTTAGGGGAGTCGTCCTGGAACCGGAAGGTCGCTGGTTCGATCCCCCGTCCAGCTGTCTCAGTCATTGTGTCCTTGGGCAAGACACTTCACCCACTTTGCCCACTGATAGTGGTCAGTGGGTCCGGTGGCGCCAGTGCATGGCAGCCCCACCTCTGTCAGTGTGCCCCAGGGCAGCTGTGGCCACAGTGTAGTTTGCCATCATCAGTGTGTGAATGGGTAAATGCCTGTTAGTGTAAAGCGCTTTGGGGTCCGGAGGGACTTGAAGAGCGCTCTATAAGTTCAGTACCACTTACCACATTATGCTCCTTCATCTAAAACATGCCCAGWGTGTTGCTTTGACTCTTTCATGCATGTTTGAGGAGCCCTTGAATCTTTTGTGGTAGCCATTTGAAGCTGCCTAATGATACGTTCACACCAAATGCCTTTTGAGCAGCAAAAAAGTGCCCACTGCCTCCAGCTGGACGYGCTTTATGTTCAGATTAGGACAGAGACTAGATGCGCGTCTGAAGAGGGAGGAGCATCTTGGTTTTTTCCGGTCTGTCTTCGGCGGATGAAATAAAGATAAAATAAAGAAAATGGCGCTTTGCTGTATTTACTAAAGAGCAAGCAAACGTTGCGCACACCAGATAAATACTGTAATTCTCCAGATGATGTCGAGGTGGTTTGTTCAGTTAGTTTCGCCACTCAAGGAGCTGCGAGCTGACAGACTATTTTTTGTCCCTAGCCCAGTTTAACACCGTGGTAAGTTTAACGAGCTGCTGACMCGCATCAGTGGTGATACAGTATCTTCAGCCAGAACATCGACTACAGACGGTCGATTTCAGCTAAAGAGCTCCTGTCCGTCTGTTTCAATGTAGTGGGTAACATTCAGGAAACCGTCACGTGGAAAAAATAGTCTCTCCGATTGGTTGTCAAGATGCGTCGAGCGGCAAAAGCTCAGATTTTTGAACTCGAGCATCGGCTGCTTACGTCTCACCGCATGCACGGAAAATGCTGTGCTGCACCTTCCGCATTCCTTGCGCRCCATAGTAAACGGACCTGACGTGCCGCAAGACCCCTAGAGGCGTGTCAACCATAGACTTTGCATGTAAACTAGCTGCTCCCGCAACTCAAAACGCGTTTGGTGTGAACGTACCATAAGTGCTTGATCATACAAAGTCCCAAAGCTACTTCCTGGAGTTCAGTCTTCATTGTAGCTCAAACCCCACTTTCCCCTCCCTGGTAAATACTTGGATGGGAGACCACCTGGGAACTAATGTAGGAGTTWCGCCCACTTTGGAAAAAAACTAGCAGAAGAAAACCTTTGATCGTAATAGGCTGCCTTCTAAAGGATGCCAAAAAACAAAGGCCCTACCTCACATCACTCTACCGCCCTATAAACACACTGTAAAAACTTTGGATAAGAGAACAAATATGTATTATCATTGTCAAATGTTACAAACATATAGTTTATTCAGTTGGGAAAATATTGTTAAATATTCAAACCTATGTCTTCTCTACAAAATTATTCATGGTGTATCACGCCCCTCACCCCCCTACACACACACACACACACACACACACACAC